GGCTGTCACTGATGCCACAAGCTGTGTGAGACAAGAGGTGTTTCTCTCTCCCTTCCTCTGCTTTCCAACTTCTGTGAGTGGAACTTTCTGAGAACAGAGGGATAAGGATGGAAACGAGGGAAGGATGGACACAGGGTAAGGATGGACATGAGGGAAAGCTGGACATGGGCTAAGGATGGACACAGGTCATGGATGCACACAAGGTAAGGATGGATGAACTGGTAACCTTGCCTCCTGCCAAGCTAAAGTTGACTGTGAGTAAAATATTGATGGACTTCAGCCCTGTGAAAGTCCCAGTGAAAGATCAGGAAACACGTTGAAAGAGGCTGGGAATCTGTCCTGTATGGCAGCTTTCCAAAGCAATGTCCATAATGTCATTGCGATGACTTCTACCGTCACAGTCTCATGCCACACCTTCCAGAGGGGGAAAGAGAAGTCACCTACTAAGTAATGCTGTAGCAGAAACTCCTCCCCACTACCCCCAGCCACCATCTCACATAGCACATCTTGCCTGGGACCCAGTGCCAAGACACAGCAGGTAGCATGCAGGTTGCCGATGCATGAAAAGTAACTCTGGCTATTCCCATCAAGTGGCATTCTTACAAGCATGCGACTTCCAAAAGCACAGCAACATGCCCGGAGGGAAACCGCTTGGAAAACAATCCAGACCAGGGCAGGAGATGAAGCTGGAGAAGTCTGGTAGGGTTCAGGTCATCATGCTCAGGGGTGTGCTATTCCCCCTTCGGCCATTTTTGCAAGGAAACATTTTGCCAATTTTTTCTCTCATGAGCATGTCCTTTTAAGAGATTTTACTGTGCACCTAATGAAGCATCTTTGTGCTCCCTGACTGCTGCTCCTACCTACTCACACAGTATCATAAATAACCATGTTGGGGAAGAGAGGAGGAGGCGGTTTTTTGGTTTGCCTTTTCTCATCCCTTCCTCTCTCAACCACCTCAATGCATTCACCAAGCAGGACACTAACAGAAAAACACGTCCAGGCTCAAGACCTCAGTAACGTCCAGAACAGCCTTTTTATAAACCTCAATGGTTCAACAAGCAGCTACATGGCAGGGTGGTTTCGGCTGTCTCAGAAACCCCAGCACCTCTCTGAAAGGGGCCTTTCTCACTCTCGCCCCTGCTAGCCAAACCAGCTGTTACGTTTCTGAAATCTGCTCTTCCCTCTGGCATCCCATGTGTTTCTCATCCTCCAAGCAGCACTCGGCTCGCTGCATTCATGCAACTCATAGTCAGACGCACCAGTTCTGCAAAAGGCTCTGCTCTGGTATATTTATATTTAGCTAGAGCATGAAATGCCTGTGAGAGAAGTGTGAGGGAGGAGAAGGGAGACTCTTCTGTGTCCTTTCACTAATAGTTTGCTTTGGGGATAGGCGATGATAATGCACACCTGTTTTCACCCACAGATCTAAAAGCACTTTATACACTGGTGGGCAAATAATACTAACGGCCCGTTTTATAAAAGGCTTGAGGTGGGACCTTCAAAGGAGTTATCCCGCTCCCGCTGAACATCATGGAGGTCTGGATGTGTAACTGGAGGCCTGCCTTGGATTCCCAGCCGCTGAGATCCACCTGAAGCTCAGGGCAAGGCAACAGCAGAGCTCTGAACCCACATTTTCCCCCCGAGTCCCCAGGCTTGCAAGCATTTATGCATGTGTTGGCAAATCTTGTGTCTCAGTCTAGCAGCCCAGCCACTGGGGTCATGCTACCCCCTTGTTAATTATTGAATGGCTACTAACCTCAGTATGTGGTGAGAGTGAGGGAAAAATAAAATACAAAGAAAATATAAAAATACTTTGTAATACAACTAAACCTGTTCAGCATCTCTTGCGTCGTTTGCTAAGTATGGAACAAGTAACATGGTAATACAGAAATGTATTTGGTCAAAGTAAGCAATCAATTATTTTTTGATAAAATACATTCTATATTAATGCTCATTCACATTTAATACACCTGTAAAGTAAATTTTCTATGTATAAAATTCCAGTTTATCCTCAGCGCTGCCTGGTCACGCTTCAGTTCAGCAGCAGGGCTTGACACATTCGGCTCCCAGCAAGGTGAGAGGGGACAAGAGCTCTCAGCTTTCTGCAGAACCAAACCTCATGGATCCCCTGGAGCACCCGCCCAGTCCTGCAGGTCCCGTTTGAGCAAAATCTCGCTGGCTTCAGTGGGAATTTTGCAGGGGTGAGCGTTGCAGAAGGGCCCCCCAGCTGTCCAGCACTTGCAGTCTGCTGTGGAAGTCACCCAAATGGCATATGGTGTTCCGAAAAAAAAGTGAGTTAGTGAATACAGAAAATAACATATCTACATCATTTACAGCATTATGTTTGCTTGCAACCGTATCAATGCTCAACCACTCATTAACAATTCAGTCAATAGGCAGGGAAAGGTAGCAGAGTGCAGTACATATTACAACCTCCTGTGTGCAATTACAGGCACTGGATCTTACAGTCTTTTCCCAACTTTATGAATTCCTGCCTACCCCGCTGCCACCCAGAGCCCAAGTCCCCATTGAGCCCTGTGGAGTCAATCCTTCACAGCACTTAAGCCGGTTCAAAATCCATCTGCGCCTCCACCATGGGGCCCTAACCCCGTACAAGGGGTACAAAGCGCCTTTGGCTGCGTGTCCTCAGCTACCACCCGTGTCCACCCCTGCACCCTCCCCTCTGCTGTGCCGGCCCCCATCCGTGCAGCCACGTGCCGAACCAGATGATGGGACTGATCCGGCTGGAAAACCGCCTGTCCTGTGAAAAGGCAGAGGGTCATTTCCCAGCCAGACCGACCCCGCAGCCCAGCTTACGATGGGGCAGCCGTGCCCGGGGCTTGTGCAAAGTGAGCGTGTGGGTGCATGCACGTGTACGTGGTTGCCGGCCACCCACACCTAAGTAAGAAGGGTGCAAGCGGCTAAGAAACCTGAAGGGCAGGACTTTGTCTCCAGCTCGCACTACCGCAAATTATGCCTTGCACCACATTACAGCAGAGGAAAGTCAGCCCCAAAAGATCTACTTGGTTGAGCTGCAACCAAAGGATTGGATGCTAGGAAGGGAAAGATTCTCCCGAAGCAGGGCTCTGTTTAACGTTATGGCATCTGGAGAGGAAAGAAAAACTTAGGAACTTAAAGCAGGGATGGAAACCACTGGTCTTACACTTTATTTTAGTAAGCAGAAAGCCTATTGCTGCTGTACAGTGTTATACAATGAACTGCCACAGTTCTCACGTCACTAGTCCATAGAAAATGTGCTGCGACTACCATGTTTATGCCTGCATGCCAAAAGAATGTACAAAGTTTCATTAAGCTCTATTTGTCTTCCACTTTCTTTTTTTTTTTTTTAATATTCTTAAACTCCGACTTTTACAGTGTTGCAGACACTTCTGTGCATACTCAGGTACCACACACCTTCCCGGTTATGGAAGGTCTTTGCCCCAGACTGGAAAAATCAAGTGCTATGCATCTCTCTAGCCATCATCAGAAATGTAAACCACCAAGAAAATTTGCTCTCTTGGGTAACCTTGACAAAAAAAGAGTCTTTAAAAAATCTATTGAAAAGGAGACGTCGCTAACAACAGGGTTTTCAAAATGGTGTGAGTTGTTTCTGGGAGTTGTCCAAGCATCTCTCTTCGCTCGCTTTTTGGTCTTATAAAGCTAATTCTGTATAAAAAGGCTTTTGAAGCACGTGACCTGCATTTCACAATTTTAAAAAAATTGGGAAAAAAGGAGTAAATTTAGAAATATTTTGCTCAGTTGTGGAAAACAGCTGTATAACAACAGAATCCCTTTGCTCCTTATATTTTCAGTACAAAAGGCAAGTAAATATAGAGACCTTGCATCTTCTCAGTCTGGCACTCATTGGAGTCACTTAAATCTATGCAAAATAGGTACAAAATATAAGGGGTCGTCTTCTCCTTTATACCAAGACCCCACTAAACCCCTCTGGGGAGCAAATCCCCAGCAAAGTTAAAACCTCACTAGTTTTTGTATCAGCCAAAGCAGTAGAATTTTAGCTCCCCTCCAACAAGGTGTAAATGCCTGGACTACCTCAAAGACCCAGGGAGAGGAACAGGTCCAGCATAATTTTAAGAGCCAGGTGCTGGTTTTGTACCCTTATGGCTTCAAAGTTAAGTTGCACTTTAATTCACAATGTCGCAAGGTTTTGAGTGATAATTTAGGAGTGTATCAAAACCAGAGAAGCTTAAAGTTGGTTGTCATGCAGAAGTGGGATAGGCCATGGCTATTTTTCAATTGATTTGTACGAAAGCAGCATTTGGCTTTGGATTGAATGATGTCGGAGTACCAGGGTTGGTTATAACATGTACTGCTGATAGTAATTACTCCCAGTTATTAATCCAGCACTTGTAAACTCAGGTATCAGTAAAGCAACATTAATACATCTGATACCAATACTCCCCTGGATTTCCCGCTTCCCATTATTTTTGTTAAGCCTTCACGTGCACTTCTGCAGTACCAACCACTTTTAAACTAGCGTTTTTCAGGAGAAATCTCCCCAGGTTTGGTACTTTGTCAAAAACCATAGCTGTTGAACTAAAAAGAAAAGCGCAGGTCGCGTTTGCTCTCTGCGCTGGTTTCCTCGGAAAGGTCACCGGTGAGGACTTCGCACTCTCACCACATGCTTCCTACATTCTCAGTACTCTACATTCATGTCAGCGAATGCTACTCTCGGACACAAATTGAAGAGACAAGTCAGCGGCAAAACTACTTCTAGACTGATGACGGCAGAACGCTACCAAGACAACTCCATAGAAAACCCACTGAAGCAGGAGCAAGATTCAGGTCACTTCTTAGCAAAGCTCATCACAGATTATTATCATTGATCTTTTTTTTTTTTTTTTTAAACCCTTTTGTAAAACTTTTATCCTGGGAGCCAGATATCCCCATGTGATGTGCTAATTCAAACAGGGTAACGTGGGACCACCTGAGCCCACCTGGTACCAAAGGCTTCCGAATTTTTTTAGCTTCTCAGAAAATCACTGCTGACTGACACCCATCTGTTGGTGATCAGCTTCTGGTTCCTCTTCTTCCACATCTGCGTTATATTCTTCAAATGCATCATCATCAACATCTGGAAGCCCAAGTAACTACAAAGAAGAGAAAATACTGTGTAACAGCGAATTACCCACTCGTGCAGCTTCGCTGCAAATCTTCACACAATACCTCAATGCCACTTCTCAAAAACCTCAAATCCTGGAATAACAGTATTGCATAATGATCTCGACTGCCTTTCTCTCCGTCCCTGTGATAAAGGAAGATTTGAAAACGCATCCTCGCACCAAATTAAGTGCTCAGAGAACCGAAGATAAACAAAGCCAAGGCAAAGCACTTGCTAAAAGCTTCACATTCTTCCCTGAGGTCATATCACGAATTTTTGAGTGTTTAGACTTGGCAGTGGTTTAACTTCAGAAAGAAGCATGATAATACTGTAGCAGTAGTTATCTCGGTTTAAGATTGCATTTGGCAACCCTATAAGAGCCAAAGAAGACAGCATCCTCATGCAGAACTGCCTAGCATGGAGGTCCCTAAAAACCTAAAGATCCCACCGTGCTAAGTGCTTCTCTTGATCACTCCACTCCATCATACCAGACGAAAGCCCTCACAGTGAGAAATCCTGCGAATTCAACTCAAAATAAAATTGCCTGGGTTCCTTTTAATTACTGCAGATTAGATTTGGGCTCGTGAAGTATGGCCAGCCCATCTTCCTTGGACAATGTCTGGATGCCTTCACCTGATGGCTCCGATCACTGCAGCGGCACTTGTTTGCTACAGGCAAAGGAGCAAACAGCAATGTTTGAACTTTTCCCCTCTCCTCCAAAAGGTTGCCAAGCCAACAGAAGTCAGGAAGACAGATAAACCAAATAACAGTCAAAATAACACATCTGTTGTGGAAATCTCATATTAGAATCCTGCACCAGCAGCTATTAATATCCACAAAGCAAAATCACACACCAGGCATCACTGGGAATACCGTGTATTTAGCTTGCCAGGGCTGGAAAAGCAGCACAGATGCATGCAACACCCTGTTTGGAGGGTGACGCAGCTGTTAGCTCTCAAAAGAGGCAAAACCCAGAAAAATCGGGAGGAGAGCAACACTCGCTAGGTGGTAGCATGAAAATGAGAAGGCTGTGACAAGGCAGATTTTTAGGAACCTAAGCTAATTTAGTCTGTGATCAACATTCAAAATTATTCAGTGGGCACATGAATTAGCCTCTGGATCCTATAAAGCTTGTGTTCCTCACTGCCACTGGGAGAAAAACAGCTTTTTAGATGCAGGGTTTCTTCAGCAGGGAAATGGAAGGAGAATGTGCTGACTAAACCCCCTCCTTTGCATTTTAAAAATACTTACGGAGATACCCCAAGCTCAAAATGTTCTTGTTTTCTGAGCAGAACAAAGAGTAAATACTCCAATGCATACATATTTTTCAAATCAAATGCTTAACTGAACATGAAACTACTCAGTTCGTTTTCAGGATGCTAAAATTAAAATACTCAGTTTTTAAAATGCAAAAGCAAGGCCTCTAGACTATCTTATCCACCAGCATTATTTTCACTAAACTGATTTGGTGTATTCAAATTAAATGTGAGTGTTGTACTGCTCCATTTATATCACTCGGCAGAAAGAGCTTTGATCACTTTTTTTTTCCCAGCTCTGGTTATAATTCTTCCTTGATTTGCAGGGAAAGGAGCCACGTAAGTCTTCATTTCATGGGATACTGTAAGCCTTTGCTGTGCAAAATTAGCATGGAAAACACAACGTACACCATGAGAACCACAATGACATGCATGATTCCAAACGATGGGGAGCATGTCCTGCTTTTCACACATCCCCTCTCCCTTTGCCCTCAGGAAACCCAGCTCTCCTCTCCCTGGCACAGAGTAAATCAAAGAGTGATGCAGCTGACACTGGTGGATTTACAGAGCATAGGAAGGACGGGGATGGGATGGGATGGGATGGGATGGGATGGGATGGGATGGGATGTTCCTCCAAGAAAGGAGGAGTTTTATTCTCTCATGGACACTTTAGGATCTTCCGAGGCACCAAGCACCTCAACTGTGCAGGTCATACTTTTAGGGGTCACATCTACCCACAGGACTACAGTCCCTCACCGCTATTAACCCCTTACTGCTCTCCGGACTGCAGTGACAAATCAGTCCACACCTTGACCCCAAGAAGGGAGAAGCAGGATCCAAAGTGCAGGGTGCTCTACAAACACTGGGTCCAAGCAGAAGGAGAGTGTATGAAAGATGAGGACAAAATAAGATGATGAAGGTGGCCTGAGTTGACTCCAGACCAACTCCCACTTTGTCTTTTTTCAAACCTACTAGTTTCTGCTTCTAGTCCGTATCTATTTGATATAGTAAAGTATCAGCTATGTGGCAGACTTGAAAGGACTTTAATGGAGAACGAAAACAAGGAGGAATGAGGTAAAACAGGAAAGAGGTGTAGAAAGAGAGAGCTTCCAAATAGCCAAGGGGAACAAAACTGCCAGGTGGGGACATGTAGGGAGAAGGACAGGACGGTGGTGAGGATGGAAAGAGGACAACAATCAGCGGCAGCACCACATGAACTGCA